AAAGTTATAGCGTCTACAAACTATGGTATAGATACTGTAATTTATGCCTTTTTTTGCTATACAGCGCTGCATTAGTTTAACTGACAATTGCGCGGTCATGCAATGCTGTACATAAATTAAATTTATGTCCTTTTTTTTCACACAAATAGAGCTTTCTTTTGGTGGTATTTGATCACCTGTGCGCTTTTTATTTTTTGCGCTATAAACAAAAAAAAACACAAATATTTTTTTAAAAAACTGTATATTTTACTTTTGGCTATAAAAAATATATAGTAAACTCAACGTTAGTCATACATTTAGGCCAAACTGTATTCTGCTACATGTCTTTGGTAAAAAAAATCCCAATAAGTGTATATTAATTGCTTTGTGTGAAAGTTATAGCGTCTACAAACTATGTTATAGATAATGTAATTTATCCCATGTTTTGCTATACAGCGCTGCACTAGTTTAACTGACAATAGCGCGGCCATACAAAGCTGCACCCAAATAAAATTTATCTCCCTTCTTTCGCACAAATAGAGCTTTCTTTCGGTGGTATTTGATCACCTGTGCACTTTTTATTTATTGCGCTATAAACAAAAAACCCCCCAAAATTTTGAAAAAAAAACAACAATATATTTTTTCATTTCCGTCATAAAAAATATCCAAAAATCTAAAATTTCGTCATAAATTTAGGCCAAAATGTATTCTGCTACATGTTTTTGGTAAAACAAAATCCCAATAAGTGTATATTGATTGCTTTGTGTGAAAGCTATAGCATCTACAAACTATGGTATAGATAATTTTAAATTTACACAGCTTTTACTTTCTGACTGCCCCATCACATTTCTTGAGGTGCTAAAATACCAGGATAGAACAAACACCCCCAAATGACCCCTTTTTTCGGAAAGTAGACACCCTAAGCTATCTGCTGAGAGGCATATTGTGTCCATGGAAGATTTATTTTTTTTCTACAAGTTTCTGGAAAATTACAAACATTTTTTTCTTTTTACACAAAGTTGTCATTTAAATGATTTATTTCTTGCACAAGCCATGGGTATATGTGGAATTACACCCCAAAATACATTCTGATACTTCTAAAAAGTATGAGGATAACACACGTGTGAGACTTTTTGGGAGCTTAGCCACAAACAGGAGCCTGAAATCCAATGACCACTTTGAAAGCCTGAAGGTGCGTAACTTCTTCATTTCACTTCCTCACTACCTATCACAGTTTTGAAGGCCTTGACATGCCAGGATAGCACCCCCCCTCCAAATGACCCCTTTTTGGAAAATAGACACTCCAAGGAATTTAAAAATAGGCATGGTAAGTATTTTGCAGATCTCATTTTTTCTCACAAGATTTTGAAATATAAAAAAAGAAAAGAAAAAAATATGTTTTTGTTTTCTTTCTTCATTTTCCAAAAACTTGTGGCAACAAACGAGATCTGAAAAATACTTATCATGCTTCTTATCAAATTCCTTGCGATGTCTACTTTCCAAAAATTGGTAATTTGGGGGGATTTGGTGCTATTCTGGCATTCCAGGGCCTCCAAAACTGTGATAGGTAGTCAGGAAGTGTAATGAGGAAATAAAGCCCTTTAAAAGCCTGAAGGTGCTTATTGAATTTTGGGGTCCTGTACTTGGCTAGACTGCCAAAATGTCTCTCACATGTGGTACCCCCATACTCGGGAGAAGTAGCAGAATGTATTTTGGGGAGTAATTCCACATATATGTATGGCATGTGTGAGCAATGAATTATTTAAATGACAATTTTGTGTTATTTTGTTTGTTTTGTTTTGTTCTAAAACTTGTGGTAAAACAATACATTCTTCTATTGATTCAACATGCCTCTCAGCAAATAGTTTGGGGTGTCTACTTTCCAAAAAGGGGTCATTTTGGGGGGTGGGGGCATTTTATGCCCAGCATCAGAAGTTTATGCCACACATCACTCACTCTTCTAACCACCTGCAGACCAAGCCTTTTCTGACACTTTTTGTTCACATTAAAATAATCAGTATTTTTGCTAGGAAATTAAAGTGAACCCCCACACATTATATATTTTTTTAGAGCAGACACCCTAGTAAATAAAATGGTGGGTGCTGCAATTTTTTAATCTCACATAGTACTTACACAGCGATTTTTCAAACGCAATTTGTTTTTAAAATATACACTTTTTTTAATTTTAATGTACAAAAACACAATATATTTGGTATGATATAAAAGATGATGCTATGCTGAGTATATAGATACCAAACATGACATGCTTTAAAATTGCGCATGCCCTGTGCAATGGCGACAAACTGCATACATTTTCAATATCTATAGGCAACGCTTTAAAAGCCTTTACAAGCTACCATTTTAGATTTATAGAGGAGATCTAGAGCTATAATTACTGCCCTTGATCTGACGTTCGTGGCGATAACACATGCATGGTGCAATTGCTGTTTCCATACTGGCACAGGGTCAACGCTCACGACCGCAGGTGCACGCGTGCGCGGGTGTGCAAGGGTACTTTTTTTTCTGATTTATTTAATTATTTTTACACTGTCCCTTTAGTTTTTTTTTTTTTTGGATCACTTTTAATGCAATCTCAGGGAGGGGGAGGGAGGACATTTTTCTCCAGCTGCTTGTAAAAACAATCCTGCAGCTAATTAGTCACTAGGAATGCTTTTACATGAAAACCCATCGCTGGCTGAAAAAAATGATACCAGGATGATGCCTGCAGCTGCAGGCATCACCCTGGTATAACCATTCAAAGTCCAGTGATGTACCAGTACGTTGCTGGTCCTTGTTGGGTTTATATGCTATAGAACATAGCAGCCTGTGGGCTGAATGAAAAAAAAGAGAAGAAATCTCTGCCAGAAAAAGTGTGTGGTGGTATGCCCACCATTAGAATACCTCCCTGCATCCACCCACTTCTAATGGTGGGCACACATGAAATGTGCCAACAAATATAAAATATATATACCGAAGCATAGGGGCCATCCACCCACTGGCCACCCCAGGCCCCCATGCTTCGGCTAATATGCTCTTTTTTTTTTTAACTGCGGATGAAAAATCTCATCCGACAGCACTGCACACACCTACTTATGTCTATTCTGAAAGCAAGACCCTATTGCTGTCAGAATAAACAAGTCGGTGCTGCAGTTTGACATTCCTGCAAAGAAATCAACAATGGTTAACAATAAAACATTAACTCAATAAAACAACTTTATAATTGAAATATCTCTGCAAGGAAAAGTGTGTGATGCTATGCCCACCATTAGAAAACCTTTCCTTCATCCACCCACTTCTAATGGTGGGCACACATGAAATGTGCCAACAAATATAAAATATATATGCCGAAGCATAGGGGCCATCCACCGACTGGCCACCCCAAGCCCCCATGCTTTGGCATATATGCTCTTTTTTTAACTGCGGATGAAAAATCTCATCCAACAGCGCTGCCCACACTGATTTATGTATATTCTGAGAGCAAGTTCCTGTTGCTGTCAGAATAAACAGGTCAGTGCTGCAGCTGAAAGCATTCCTGCAAACAGAAATGGTTAACAATAAAACAGAAACAATAAAACAGTAAAAGTAGAACAATCACAAAAATGACAACAAAAAAACTATAACTATTTTTTTATTTTTTGGGGGATTTGTACTTAAATTTTTTTTTTTTAACTTCTTTTTTTTCAAACTTTAAAACATTTTTAAAACAGATGGTAGGGTCTCTCCAAATGCGATAGCCAGTTTCCTGACTACCTAACATCTTTCGAGAGCCTGTGTAAATGTGCCCTGAACTGTGATGTGCTGTACCCTATACTAATATTCTACTAGTGTATGGTAGAGGCAGAAGCAGGTCTTGACGCAGAGGCCAGGTTGGTCAGGACAGGAGGGACAACAAAAGCGGCTGTCACGCCTAATTCCATGTTGGCTACAGACACAACATCTTTTTTGCGGGCTTCTTTGGGTTGGGGTACCAGGAATGGTATCGGGAAAATGTCTCTCATGCAGCCAGCTAACTGCATCTGGGATGGGGGTTTGGGGCGCAGCACCTTCTGGATACAAAAGGTCCCTGATGATCTCTAACTCGAATTTTAGGTAGGATTCACTATGTCCAGTTGCTTTGTAGAGAACAAAAGCGTTATATACAGCCAATTGAAATAAATAAACAGAGACTTTTTTTGTACCAGCGTTTGGCTTTTCTGAAACTAAGTATGGCTTCATCATCTGGTCGTTGTAGTCCACCCCTCCCATGTTAAGGTTATAATCGTGGACACAGAGGGGCTTCTCAACAACACCAGCTGCCGTGGCAATTTGGATGGTCGTATCTGTGTGAATGGAAGACAGGAGGTAAACATCCCATTTGTCCTTCCACTTCACTGCGAGCAATTCTTCGTTTCTCAAGCAGGCTTTTTCCCCCTTTCTAAGACTGGTAGTTACAAGCTGTTGGGGGAAGCCCTGGTGATTAGATCGCACATGGCTAATTGTGCAAATTCCAAGATTGAACAAATGTCTAAATAGTGGCACCCTTGAATAAAAATTGTCTACGTATAAGTGGTACCCCATATGGAAAAAGGATGACACCAAGTCCCAAACTATCTTGCCATTGCTCCCCATGTAGTCTGGGCATCCAGGGGGCTCCACGTGACTATCTTTTCCATGCTTGCTGGGGATAAACTGTTTGATTACAAGGCGGCCATAAAATTGAATGAGGGACTCATCGATGCAGATGTTTTTATGGGGAGTATACAGATCTGCAGATTTTTGGTTAAAGTGATTTACGAGGGGCCGAATTGTTGTGGAGCCGGTCAAATTCAGGGTCACCCCGAGGATGACTGAGTGTGTTGTCGTTGAAGTGCATAAAACACATTATCGTCTCATATCTATGCCTGGCCATGGCAGCAGAGAACACGGACATGTGAACAAGCGGGTCTGTGGACCAATACAACTGCAATTGATTTTTTTTATTAATGCCCATGTTGAGGGTTAGGCCCAAGAAAACTTTAAATTTGGGAAACTGTAATGGGTTTCAATGCGAATGGTCTGGGAAGGTTTGAATTTGGGTTGGCGGCGATAAATTGTCGTGCATATAAATTGCTTTGATCCACAATCAATGCATAAAGATCATCTGTGAAAAACAGCTCAAAAAAATCAAGGGGATTATTTAAATTTGCTGTTTCCACCTGAATTCTGGGTTGGGCAGTGAATGGGGGAAGTAAGTGTGCTTTAGAATTTGTGAGCTGCCAATCTGGATCTGCAAGCACATCCGGAAGGATACTAGGGGCTCTACGGGCCTGTCTGCAAATTCTTGGTGGCTGCAGGACACTACTTGTGCTCGCCAACGCACCAGCTTGTATTGCACTTATGGGACTCGCCACGTCACCAAGTGATATTGCAGTGCTGGTACTGCTCGCCAGTTCACCAAAAGGGTAGTGGGGCACTAGTACTGACACTCTGCTGCATATGAGAGTCATCATGCGTTTGTACCACCTCAGCAACCTGGAAATGGGGTCGGGTATGCCTGACCTTAGCAGGGACCTCTTCTTCATCGTCTGAGCTATCTGTCCGGGTGCTGCTGCTGTCTATAGGTTCGTATTCTGAGCCTGATTCTGTCAGGGAGTCTTCCCCCTTCGCTCTCACCTGACATGCACAGAATCCTATAGGCCTCTTCACTAGTGTACCTTTGGTTGGACAGGTTTTGTATTCTGAGGCGGATTCTGTCTGTGAATCTTCCCCTCAGGGGCAGACTGACAACTCATGGGGCCCCCCCGGGCAATAGGGGATCATGGGGCCCCTGTGTCCTTGCCCAAACTCAAAAAAGCCTATGAAAAAGGTACCAAGGGCATCTCATGGGGCCCCCTACTGACCTCGGGCCCTCGGGCAGTGCCCGAGTTTTTAAATGGTCAGTCCGCCCCTGCTTCCCCTTCGCTCTCACCTGACATGCTCAGAATCCTGTAGGCCTCTTCACTAGAGTACCTTTGATTGGACATTTTGGCCACTAAATTTACAGGTACCTAGTGCGACTCACAGGAAAAAGAACGCCTGGCTGTCAGGGACTGCTTGAACCGCTACAAAAAATTTACCGACAAGTGCTAACAGAGATCAGGCCTGATTCTGTGAACACTGCGGTTTTGTGTGTAATGTATCAAGTGACAGTTATCTGACACTGCACTTGCTGGGGGAGAAGGGGGGCGTAGGGGCTGATCCCGCTAATGCTGCGTTTTTGGGGATACTATAGTAATGTGAACGCTGGTATAGTGCTGATCTGATCAAAGATATTGATCCAATCAGACACTATACTAGCAATGGAGGTTTAGCGTGCAAGTGAGCTTGTTCCTAGCAATCGAGGGCACAAATGTGATGAATGGTGTACTAGCGGCAATCTGACGCTATCTGGGAGGGGCGCTAACTGACGCTAACACTATCGGACGTCACCAGTGACACTAATACAGTGATCAGTAAAAATCTGTTCACTGTAATCAATGACACTGGTGACAGGGCAGTGAAGGGGGTTAACTGGGGGGGGGGCGATCAAGGGGTTAAATGGGATTACTGGTGTACTAGCGGGCAAACTGGCGCTGTATGGGAGGGGCGCTAACACTATTGGAAGTCGCCAGTGACACTGATACAGTGATCAGTAAAACTCTCTTCACTGTGATCAATGACACTGGTGACAGGGCAAGGAAGGGGTTAACTGGGGGGGCGATCAGGGGGTTAAATGTGACCTAGGTGTGTTCTAACTGTAAATGTGTAGTGTTTTACTCACATTTACTGTGTCTTCTTCTCTCTCTGGGACGGAATGTGCCCAGACAGAGAAGAATGACATCATATCCTGTCCTGTGTAAATGTCAACACATGACAGGATAGGACTGGGACCGATCACCCGATTCCAGCAGGACATCACTGGCTGAAACTGAATGATTGATCCCTCGGGGATCAAATGGTAACAGCCCCGGGTCAGCGGGGGCACGCGCACGCCCCCCCTGCCCGCGAAAACCTCGGGAGCGCGGAGCACGTTTAAAAACGTGCTTTTGCGCAGCCGTGCCGTCCTGCTGCTGTTTTAATACAGTGGCTGGGCGGCAAGAGGTTAAGTACTTTTTTGGTGAATAGGAGTGCTATGTACCCCATACCATTTTACATAGATTGGTGGAATCTGGGGCCCCCCTTGTTGAAGGGGGCTTCCAGATTCTGCTAAGCCCCCCCTGCCTGCAGACCTCTACAACCACCAACCAGGGTTGTGAGGAAATGGCCCTTGTCCTCATCAGCATGGGGACAGCTGCTGCTTTGGTGCACCTCCATATGTTGTGGACATACAGTCCCTTTTTTTTAAATTAGACACGGCACCAAACTGTTGAAGCTCTGCCATAAGAACAGGGACAGTATTATGGGGGTCTCAACAAATAAATAAGGTCATCCGCATATGCCGACAATTTATGCTCCATGGACCCAATGCGAATCCCCGCAATATCTGGATAGGCATGAAATCTCTGCAGGAAAGGTTCCAAAACTAAAGCGAACAGCAAAGGGGACAAAGGGCAACCCTGCCTGGGCCCATTATGAATAGCGAAACTGGCAGATAGTGCTCCATTCACCTTCACACGGGCCCTAGGGTTGTGATACAAAGCTAAAATCCAGCCCAACATGCGTCGGTTGGAACAATGAGGCTCTGGTGGCTGCGTTTTCCCATGGTCTTTCTGACACATTGAAGGGCGAGATTGCAGCTAAGGAACTGCCTGTGGTGTTGGAGGAGCTCATCTCTTTCCTGATCCTGATTGACACCAGGCTCAGGGAGAGGCCTTCACTCAAGGAACGCCTGCGGAGGCCTTCCAATCGACTGGCACCTGCGTTTTCTGTCCCACCCATTCCTCCCTCTCCTCCCACGCCTCCTGGGGATAGATTGTCTGGTGGCGAGCCCATGCAGCTGGGGTTTGCTCGCCTTTCCGAGGGAGAGCGGGCCGCTCGGCGTCGGGAGGGTCGCTGCCTGTACTGTGGTCTTGGTGGGCACTTTCGGCAGTCCTGTCCGGTCTGTCCGGGAAACGCTCGCACCTGAGATCCTGTCGGGGACAGATCTTGGGTGGAGTCTCCTCGTCCCCGGCGTTCCTCAGAGATAAGCCACTGATCACCGTTGTCCTCTCTTGGGCGGAGGGCTCGGTGACGGCCCAGGCGTTGGTAGATTCTGGGGCCGGCGGGTTGTTTATGGACAGCTCGTTTGCTGCCCAGCACTCCATTCCCCTGCAGGCTCGAGTTACCCCATTGGTTCTCGAGGCAATAGATGGCAGGCTCCTGCAACCACCGCAGGTTACCCACGAGACTATGCCAGTTGAAGTAGCTATTGGGGCTGTTCACAGGGAGTTGCCTGTTTCCAGGTGATTTCTTCTCCGCACTATTCGGTGGTTTTGGGGTATCCCTGGCTCCAGATGCACAATCCAATCTTCAATTGGCAAACAGCCGAGATTCTCTCGTGGTCTCCACAGTGTGGGGCCGGGTGCATCCGTGGGCCGGTTAGGTGTTGTGTGCCTCCTCGGACTCTGCGTTGCCCACTGATTATGGGGAGTACCAGGACGTGTTTGATAAGGTACGCACTGGTGCCTTAAACCTGCTCATCGTCTTTACGACTGCGCCTTATCCTTGCACCCGGTGCCACTCCTCCACGTGGCAGGGTGTATCCTCTCTCGGTTGCGGAGAATAAGGCCATGGAGGAGTACGTTGCGGATGCGCTTTCCCGGGGGCACATTCGTAAGTCTACTTCCCCAGCAGGAGCGGGCTTTTTCTATGTAAGAAAAAGGGTGGTGAATTGAGGCCTTGCATTGATTATAGGGGGGTCTTAATCGAATCACCACTAAGAATGCCTACCCGATTTTCCTTGATTACTGAGTTGTTCGACCTCCTTAAGGGGGCAACAGTCTTTACCAAACTTGACCTTAGGGCGGCGTACAACCTCGTACGGATCAAACAGGGGATGAGTGGAAGACCGCGTTTAACACCAGAACCGGTCACTATGAATACCTGGTGATGCCCTTCGGGTTGTGTAACGCGCCCGCAGTTTTTCAGGAATTCATAAATGATGTCCTTCGTAACTTGTTGCAGCAGTGCGTGGTAGTTTACTTGGATGACATCCTGGTTTACTCTGCCTCCATGGAGTCCCATATCCAGGATGTCAAGCAGGTGCTGCAACGATTACGTGAGAACGAACTTTTTTTGTAAACTTGAGAAGTGCGAATTCCATCGAATCCCAAGTTGCCTTTTTAGGCTACAAACATCATTTCTGCGGAGGGATTCTCCATGGACCCTCAGAAGGTTTCGGCGGTTCTGCAGTGGCCTCGTTCCCAATGGTCTTCGGACCCATTCAGCGCTTTTTGGGTTTTGCCAACTACTATCGGAAGTTCATCAGGAACTTCTCCACGCTGGCAAAGCCTCTCTCAGACCTAACCAAGAAGGGCAGTAATCTCACGAGTGGCCATCCCGAGGCCATCGTAGCTTTCGAGGCTCTGAAATCCGCCTTCGCGTCGGCTCCGATACTGTCTCATCCCAATCCTGGATTGCCCTTCGTCCTTGAGGTTGATGCATCCGAGACGGGAGTAGGCGCTCTCCTGTCTCAACGTCGGTCGCCCGATGGACCCCTACTTCCCTGTGGGTTCTACTCCAGGAAGCTTTCTTCTGCAGAGTGCAACTACCAGATTGGAAATTGGGAGTTGTTGGCAATCATTCTGGCTCTCAAAGGAATGGAGGCACCTGCTCGAGGGCTCCGCGGTTTCCGGTCCTCATTCTTACCGATCATAAGAACCTGACTTATCTTTCGGAGGCCAAAATATTGACACCCCGCCAGGCCAGATGGGCTCTGTTCCTTGTCACGCTTCAACTATGTGGTTTCATATTTGCCTGGTTCCAAGAATGTGAGGGGCTGATGCGTTATCACGGCAATACTCTGAGTTGTCCCAGGGAAGGACTCTGAGCCAATCTCAGTTATTCCTCTCCAGATCAGATCCTGGCTGCTATTCGCACCAGTCTGACCTCTCCTCTTGGGGAGCAGATTTTGGCAGCTCAATCTGATGCTCCTCCCGGGGAAGCCGCCGTGAGGGTAGATGTTTTGTACCCGAGGGATTTGCGCACCCGCCTGCTGCGTACCTACCATAGCGCCAAAACTGCCGGGCATCGGGGAAGAACCAGACTGTGTTGGGTCGTCTCTCTCTTATTCTGGTGGCCAACCCTCCGTTGCCGGACATTGCCTCTTATGTAGCGGCGATGTTCGATCTGTGCCAGAATAAGTCTCCACGGCATCTCCTTTGGGTCTTCTGAAAAAAACCATTCCCATTGGGGAGCGTCCTTGGTCCACACCTAGGTATGGACTTTATTGTAGACCTCCTGTGTCTCGGGGTGTCATACGGTCACATCCTCATGATCGTCGATCGGTTTTCCAAGATTGTGCCATTGCATTCCACTCAGGAAATTTACCAAACAGTGCAAGAACTGGCCACGGTCTTTTCCAGGGAGATTTTTCGCCTGCATGGGTTGCCTAAGGTGATTGTCTCGGACCGCGGGGAGTCAGTTCGTGTCCAGATTGCTGGTGCGCTTTTCTGCTCCCAGTTGGGTATTAAGTCTCTCCTTTTCCTCAGCCTACCACCCGCAGTACCATTGGGGCTGCGGAGCGTTCCAATCAGGCCTTAGAACAATTCCTTCGGTGTTATATTTCAGAC